CTCGCGCTGAAGCTGGAGCAGCCGCAAGGCTTATTTCAGAGGAATGAGACCCTGCATTCAGTCTTCGCCTTAAACGCTAGGCCTGACGCTGTTTGGGGCGAAATATATTATTCCTACTGCTTTGGGAAATTTATCTGACGCTTGATTTTCTCATTTGAGTAACCAAAGGCATGGAGCAGTTTCCCTGCCGGTAAGGCTCAGTGGCTACATCACATTAGGAGAACGTAGCAAACCAGAGGGCGCTTTAAGCATTCACCAAAGCTAGGTATGTTTCCCAGGCGAAACTGACCAGGAATCTCCTTATTCCCTCCTTATCCTGTATCGTTTCTGAGTCGTGAGAGATTTTTACGATGAATGGGTACTTAGGGGGAAATAGTAATATTTTGTTCTGTTACTTGCTGAAAGTAATAGTTCGACCTTTTGTGTGTGGCAGATCCCTGTGGTAGCATTTCTTTATTGTTCTGCTTTCTAAACATGAAGGGCACGAAATGAGATTCCACGTAGCCTAACGTAAGCTTTGAAAGCTGCTCGACTTTGTTAATCTCCTTGATTTGGCCCTGGAGAAGATCTGCTTGCACTGCAAAATGGCAGAATACCTGAAGTACCCCACAGATATTGATGTGGCTGGGTTCCGGATCGACGCTGCCAAGCGTATGTAGCCAGGGGATGCAAAGGCAATTGTAGATGAACTGAAAGATCTAAATACTGGATGGTTTTCTGCAGGAGCCAAGCCTTTCATTTATCAGGAGGCAATCTTTTTATTTTCTTGAGTTGACTTGACATGCATATTTTTACAGGGACACTCAGTTCTCAGCATACGCTCAGTCCTCCAACTTAAAGCAGCACCCTGCAGCCTTAATATGAAACGCTGTCGAGATTCAGTAATTGTAACTTGAAATATCTAATGTGACTGTGAGTGTTCACTGAAACGAAAAATGCCTCAGTTTTTTGGGCCTCGTGGCACTAATCCACCTGGAAATTTCATTTGGGATGTAATTTGCGGCATTGAAGTAAACGTAAAAATTCAGTCGACTTCAAAAAGGTAAGAATTCAGACTCTGATTTTGAAATTCGAAATGTCTAAATGGTAACGGGAGGTATAAATGATGATGATGGTCTGAAACTGCATAGCCAGTATGACTCGGACACTCCCAATTTTTTTTTAACATGTTCGAGTCACAAATCCTACAAGGACCTAAAAGAAAGATAGCAGTCTACGGAAGCTGAAGATGCTCCATACATTTTAGACCTATAAGATCTAATGTCGATAGTAAGATGTTCTTTAGCTGCATTAGCTAAACAAGAAATGAGCTTGACCGCGATTCTGTGCGCTGAAATCAGAGGCAGTGATAAAACATTATGTCTAATGTGGGGAAAGATACCAGCCTATCAGCGACAAGATCTGCAGTCGATCAGACAATGAAAAGGAGTTCAGAGTCAAGGTGACCAGAAGCAGCAGTGTTGGAGTAAGCGTCTGGAAAATCTGTAATTGATACACTGAGGTGTAGAGAAAAGCTAAGTCACGGCCTGAAGCAGTAATCGAGCACCTGGTGCTCAGCAGGGCAGATTCAGGGGTGCTCAGGTGCAAGCAATGCAGCTGAGAGGCCTGCAGGGGTGGAGCCAGGATCCACTCATTCCCAGACCTCATTTAAGGGTCGGCAGGGGAGGTGAGGGCATCACTTTCCAGAGTTTCCTGCCTGCCTGAGCTCTTCTAAAGCTGAGCAGCTCCCTTCCTCCTTTCCTTTCTGTGTCTGCTGCATTTGAGTTCATTCTTGTCTGCTTTAACCAAAGGCTTTGCCACCCTGCTATTATCACCCCATGCCAGCCTTACAAAAGGGCAGTTTCAGTGGAGGGCAGTTACTGCTCCTATTCTCAAAGCAGGATGAAATGGAGCATAAAGGGAGAGGGATGAAAGGTCAAAGTAACAGCGGTGCGTTAAAGCTCGGGCAGTTCCTTCGACAGCATCACAGCACGCAGTGAAAGGCAATTACTGCTTTTTCAGGTTTGTATTTATGTGGACGCCGTTGTCAAGCACAAGTGGGATCTGCGGCAGCTCAGGCACCTGCGGGAGCTGTAAACACTGAGAACAGAGGGTTTCCCACCGCGCCTTGCTGGGATTTTGGTGGTGGCAAACATCATCCTGGAAGTGCAGACACCGAAAATCATGGGAACATGTATCAGGTAACTTTTTGTGGTAGCATTTTGATTTTTTTTGTTTGCTTTTAATTGTATTGTGTAAAGATTAGAGTAAAGCCAAAGAACGGAAGTAGTTCATCGCGGGTTGAACGCTTAGTCACCTTACGTGCTGCAGTGGACATTGTAGGCTTCTCTTCTGGAAAAGCACCCGTGCTGCACAGTACTGTAGGTACTGGGAAATCACCAACCCTCTCCACGTGTTTACTGTAGGCTTGTGAAGGAGAACTAAGCCCAAGCCTCTCGGTCTGTCAGCGAGCTCTTTTTTACAGCTTGTAAAATCAGTTGTTCTCAGTAAGGAGATGCACAGAAATTCGAGAGCAGTGCAGGATACTCCCCTGGTTGTGTCAGTCCATTTGGACGTGGCACAGGTGATGGTTCTTCATCGAGGTTATGGCTCGGCATTCATCTGCTTTGCTGTGATGTTCTTCCAGTCACCGGGGACTTGCCTGACAGCCCCGGCTTATCTAATATGGTGGAGAGTAGCACAGCAGTTGCATCAGGCAGTCCCCTCAGGACCCTGGGGTGCATGTTATCATGCCTCATAGACCTGTAGGCATTCAGTCTCTTCAGGTGGGCTCGGACTCGCTCTTATCTTACGGCTGGAGGGATTAGATCCCCCCTTCACCATCCAGAGGTTTGGGGACCTGAGAGATACAGAAAGGCTGACTGCCATCCAAGATTGAGGCGAAGGACTCGCTGAGCACCTCAGCCTTCCTTACGTCTGTCATTGCCTTTTCTCCCTTCTCACTTATCAGAGGGAGTACGTTTTCCTTGGCTTTTGTCTTTCTGACACAAAGAAATTGCTTTTTGTTAAGTCTCGTGCCAAATTCAGTTTCATCTGCCTGTCAGTTTACTCATCTCCGCCCATCTGGAAAGCATCCGTGTATTCTTTCCAGGTTACATGTCCCTGTTTCCTCAGCCTGTTCATTTTGTTTTCCTTCTTTTGCCTTGTTTGTTCCCCAGAAGGTAATTGCTCTGTCACACCCTGGTCTTGTGCCCCCTCTGCTTGCTGTCTAACACAGGGGCTGGAGAACTCTAGCACTCTCAGAAAGGCATCCTTAAAGAGTTCCTCTTATACTTCTTTCTATCTCAGCATTTGCTAATCTACATGTATTTTTTTCTTCCATACATGGTCTGCTGTATTATTTTCTGTAGTAATTTCATAGCCTCCTCAGCATGTACTTCATCACCTCGTTGAGATTAAGGACACTTCAAAGGGTAAGATTTGTCCTCCAAAGGTGAACGCTTTGTCCACTTGGTTGAAATTCCTGTAAGTTACTAGGAAGGTAGATGAGGTATTCTTCTAGACAGGGGAAAAATGTAGATCTGACTGTCTTTAGCTTGATAGAGAACTAAGCTGATACGGTAAGTCAGCATTTGGAAAGCCACATTCAAAGTGCTTGCTTCAGTCTCCTTGCCTTTTGTGAAACTGGAGGACAAAGGCAGAGGTTTGCTTTCAACACAGAGACAAAGGGAGCGAGTACAAGTGAGTGAGTTTTAGCACAGCAGTGAAACATGTTTAATTCCTTTTTTTTCCTCAGCAGATTCAATTTTTAGCTCCCCCCATTCCCTAGTTGGCCAGTTGCCCATTCATAAAGTTATCTGGGGGCCACACAGGATGATGCGAATAGAGTGTTAAGTTCTGACCATGTAGGATATACACCCAGAATCACAATTAGAGCAGTTTGTGGAAGACAGCAAATACTGGCAATCTGAGGGGCTTTATACCGCACAGAGAACTTAAGCACTTCAACATAGGGCTTCTGAATTTGAAAATAAAAGAGCTCAAATGTTCTGCAAAAGCACATGGAAAAGCAAAGAGCTGAAACATATCTTTTTTTTTCCCCAGGTGGTTATTTAATTGTTAGCAATGCACTCTGTTCTTAAAAGCCAGCATTCTACAGAGTTACTGTTAGCAATAAATGCTGCCTGGAGAACACAGTAATTGCTTTGCAAAATGAAGAAAGCATGTGGGGCACTGTGATGGCACAATGATGTCATTAAACAGCCACTTATCTGAGCGCATGGTTACTTCCAACATCATGGGAGAGCATCAGTCTAATTCTAAGACATTTATTCTAAGACATTTAACAGGGAAAAAATTTTATTCTCACAATGCCTGGAAAATCTTAAAGATAAATCCACCTTTCTAAAAACTTCTGAAATTCTTGACAGGCTTTGGAGCCAGTTTGTTTTTAAGTACACAGCAATTAAATGCCTTGCACAAGATAGATAACTGCCCCATTTTGGAATTGCACAAACTGGGCCTGCAGCTTTTATATGCAAAACCTCAGATTTGACATCCTAACTTACCGTAAATAACTGAGATGAGGGTTCAGCAAGTCACACAAGGACTTCATGCATGCACTTATCTCCTTGATCACTTGATTTTATTAAGCTCCAGTTAAAAACAAAACTATGTAGTAGCATGCCAACCTGGCTTTCACCCCAGCAGTTCCATCTTCTTCCACAGGAGTCATTTGGCCCATTCTTGTGCTTTTTTGCTAGGCTCACAGAGCTTATGGGATCTTGTCTCTTAGAAACACAGCTGGAAGGGTAAGCACTTCCACCTGATTACCTGAGACTAGTGTGTCTAAGTAGTATGAATAGCTCATAGCATAAGCAGTAAGTTTTTTGAGACCCCATCCAAAACCTTGCTCTTTTCTTACTCTTCTTCCTTCTACCACTGGTTTTTGTCACATCAAGTACTTAAGAACCCACAAACCAAAGTTAGTGAAGTCAAAGCAACGTACATTGTTACTGTAGTTTATTTTTGTTTTCAAACTAAAAAACATAGCTTGACATGTATCATACAGGCTTACAGGGAGGGATTTATCTTTTCAGCACAGCAACCTGAGTCACTGCGCAAGTGAGTTTACTGTGTACAATTACAACACCGAAGTATGGAAAGTGGAGAAGGTTGGAGTTTTATCACACACTGTGTGAGTGGAAATCAGTGCTATGTATAAACAAAAAAGGAATAATGGACACATTCTTTGTCACAGAGCCCACGTAAATTTAAGATTAGGATTTCTGTTTAATTTTTCCATAGGAGTTAATCCAAAAAATAAAACCTTTTCTACTATTCACCAATGGAGGAATGCACTTAAACAGAGAGCCTGGACCAACATTTAATGCAATGGCAGAATCCAAACACAGTTCCATTTCTTCCTGTAAAAAGGTAAATGTGGAATAGGACAATGTTGTTTGCATTAGAGTTTGGACTCAGTATGGGATGAAGGCTTGCAGAAGCTAACTTACTAAGATTTGACACAAAGGCCTTCACCAAGAAACATTAGTTGGAGTTACCTAGCAAGAAACCAGATAAGTTTCAGTGAGCTGATTTTATAGAACGGAAACAAGGTTTTATTGCAAGACACTCAATGCCACTCTATTTTTGGGATAGCACACCTGCCTTCAAGCTCAGTAAGACTCTACCAAATTTGAGAAACACTGATATTCTGAAATTCAGCTGTAACAATACAAACACTGGAAACATACTTACAATTCCAGTCAGCAAGTAAAGTCTGATGAATTGTGGCTTTGAAGTAGATAAGTAGAATTTGTAATCAAGTCTTGCTTTTGAATCTTTTACAGAACACCCAAGTGGCCGATCGCAAGAGGGGGACTTTTTCCTCCCCTTTCCTGTTCCCTGTGATTAATAAGCTAACATACGTGGCAAGGGAATAAGGCAGGAGCACATGAAGAGCAGGTACATCCCTTTCTTTGTGGTAAGTGAAGATTTTTTCCAGTTACGTTGAAGACAAGCAGGTACCTACTTCACCCTAAAAAAACAAAAAAAAAAAAAACAAAAAAAAACACACAGCTAGTTCAGTCTAATCATTCCATTTTATTCTTTGGCGTGCTCATGGCTACATGTACCACAGAGCACTTCTGCCTTAGGCAGAACAGTCTTTATAAAAAAAATGTAACCCTACTGACCTAATCATTCCTCTGCAAAATTGATGCATCACTTGCTTCCCACCCCACAGAAGTAAACATGGTTGCTACCAGTATCTTTGGGACATACCTTGAAATGCAAACAGAGTTGGTTACAAGTCCTCCTACACAGTTTTGCTTCAGCAAGGTGATAAAGTGAAAAAGCCTATTTTACTAATATAATTTTAAAACATACCATTTAAGTTGCACCAAATTGAGTTAGTAGGTAGGCATGTTGAGGCATTGCCTTAAATACAAGCAAAGTAAAGCCTTATCCCCACAAGGAGATAGTTTTCTGCATTTCTATGAAAGTAAAAGCTAAGCATTTTCATTTGTTAGTTTCCTATTACACTTTTTTCCCCCCCATTAGTAATTGGCAAAGGTCACCAAGAGCACCAGTGTTACTCCTTTTTGACTGTCTGTTGAGGTTGCAGGTACTGCAGAACAGCCCTAGCATATACAGGACACATACTTGGATGGACACTCACCACAGGAACATTTCACCTCCAGCTGCTTACCCAAGCCCTTTCAGAAGGTAAAACCCTCTACACTCCATAGTGCGCATTAAGTGACTGCACAGAGCAACTTAAGCCCCAGACAAAGGCTTCATTCAAACACACTTTACCCAAGAGGTAAAGTGAACTGTACTTTACCTTCAGGCAGAACACAGGGCCAAGAAGAGCTGGCTTTGCTGGCTTCCACCTCCCTTCCAGCCACCAGAAAAAAAAAAAAGTCAAGTAAACCAAGTGAAGACCACAAGTCCATCCACATAAGCTACCTCAATCTCAAACATGAACACACAAGAGTCAAAGTCATACCACCACAAAAAAAAAAAAAAAAACAACACATCAAACTCAGTGACAACTCACTACCACCACAAAAAAAAAGTAAATCAAGTGACAACCACAACTCATCCACATAAGCCACGTCAGTCTCAAACATGAATACACAAAGCCAAAATCATACCACCACATAAGGCACCTTCATTTCAAGCTGGCTTACACAATTAGAGCCAGTCATAGCACCACAAAAAAAAAAAAAAAAAGGCAACTGGCAGACCACAACTCATCTCTGCATCAACATAAGCCACCTCAAACACGATGACACAATTAGAGCCAGAATTACAACCACAAAAACAAATAAACTCAGTAACAACTCACCATCACTTCACAGAAAAATAAGCAAAACTACTACAGCCACAAAAAAGTAAACCAAGTGAAGACCACAAATAAGCCACCACAAACAAAAAGCAAATAAACCAAGTGACACAGACCACAACTCAGGTCCACCTTAACCTCACTGGCCAATAAACCACACTGATACAAAATTACAATCTGCACCTCCAGAGAAACCGCAACTTATATCAGCTGTCAAAGAATCCAGTGCGGGGGGGGGGGTCTGCCACAGCTAACACACAACCTACAGGGCACACAGCAACACCCAAGGCTTACCTCTCAGGACAGCTTCTCTGCTTCCACCTCTGCAGCTTCACAAGAGCCCAGCTACCAACTGAGGATGTTGAATATCCTCCCAGAACACCAGCTGCACCAAGACCTGAAGAAAAAAAGAGCTCTGCAGTGTTGGACCTCACCAAGGCAGACAACAGGTTGCCCCAGTACAGGAAATGGACTCTAGATTCCCCACACAGGAGGGCAGGCAGAACTTCTCACCTCTCCCTCCATCAATTCCATCCCTCCAGGAGAGGACCTGCAACACACCACCAGGCTGAAAGGAAAGCACAGTGAAGCTTCGCCTCAAGCAAGGACCCAAACAGAAGGGGCTTTTGTCTGTTAGCACCCAGTCCTACCCTTCAATTCCATCCCAGGAATACAGGTCAGACATAAAAGGACACAACTCACCTCAGTCCATCCCTCCATAGCATCCTTCTCCAGCCCTAAACGTGCAGGAAGGGCATCAAGGGGCCACCCGGGTGGGAGGCCCCACACCAAAGCAGACAGCACTCAGGTTTGAAGGCTCACATCTTTCATTCCAACGCTGAAGAAACCACTTGCGTATTCAGGCCAATCGCCAGCAAAAACGGCTTCACCGCTGCCCTCACCCCACAGCAAGATCAGAACTAGAGCTGTAGGACTGAAAAGGGCTCTCCGGAGATCACCACACTCCCAGAGAAGGGCGCTAGGCAGTCGTTGATCTCTCATCCGTTCCTCAGAAAGACGACGCTCCCACGCCCCCATCGTCTTCACCGCTCTCCGCCAGACTCCGCAAACGTCCCGTCTTCCTCGACCTGCAGAGTCCAGAAGCAGATACGGCCCCGCCGGGGCACGTGGAACACGGAAGGTCCCCTCCCTCGCCCTGCCGCCCGCGCTCCTTTTAACTCGCCCCGGGATAACATCGGCCACGAGGGCGCGCGGCCGGCCCGCGGTACCTCTCACTCGCCGGGACCGCAGTCTTCTTCGGGTGCCGCTCCTGTCATACGGTTCTTCCCCGCAGCGGTGAAGCCAACTCCAGCTGCGTGAAGAAGGTCTTACCGACTTTCTCGTCCCGCTCTGTAACAGACGCCCCTAGGACGTTTGCCGCATTACCCGCCGCCGAGCGCTCCTCCGCTCGCCCCCGGGCGCAGCACGGTCCGTTCGGCTTCCTCGCGTGAACCGCTGCGTCTGTCTGTCCTGAAAAGAACATCGCCAGCCACACGAGCTGCCACGAAGAGTATTCCTGAAGTTACACGTAACTGGGGGAGAGGAAGGAGGGCACGCAAGGTCCCGTCCTACTCGCTGCTAACACTGGACGCGGGATGTGCTGAAGCGCCCTCGAAACCCTTCGCGGGGACCGCGGCGGCCCAGTGCCGATCCTTCTTCGGCACCGTGCCGAGCTTAAGAAATTGAGGTAGCAAACCCCGAGCGCAGAGCGCTTACCTGGGACCCCGAACGCTCGCCGGATCGGGCCGACAAGAGGCCCTCGCTCCGCCTGCGAAAACGTAAACTTGAGTCTTAGCAGCCCTTCGCGTCGCGTGTCACCCTCACCAGCACAAAGGCTGCAACAGTACGGCCCCGTCCCGCTCGCTCCCGCCGATGACGGCGGAAGGAACCGAAGCGACCGCCAAAAAACCCGACGCGGCTGAGAGCGCCGCGTCGGGACTCGAGGAAGCGAGCGGCGGCACCTCCCGAAGGTGCGATGGAAACGGTACTCCGGCTCTGAAAAGCTGGCAGAGCCCGGCGGCAGTCCTACGCCGGCCCCGAAAACAGCGGTAAGGGCAGCCGGACGGCTCGCCGCGTCCGTCGTCTCGCTACCTCCGGAACTGCTCACCGGGTCGGGCTGATCCTCAATGCGCGCGGTCTCGCTGCAACCTAAAACAAAACAAAACAACAGAGAACGTTACGCAGAATCCTAACGTTTCCTTCTAAAAGCAGCCCCTCACGTAGCTTTTCGGCCCCGGCAGCACGAAGGAACGGAACCTGCTCTCGGTCTGCGGAGGACCTCCGCAAAGCTCCTCATGCCTCCCAGCCGCCTCCGGCGGAGCTTAAGAGGCTTTGCGGCGGACTCCGCCCCCGAGCTCCCGACGAGGCGCGGCTGTGCGTGAGCGGGCCCGGCCCCGCGGCACCTGGCGCTCGTTAGCGAGGCTAGGTCTCGTTAGGGCCGGCCCGGGGCTCTGACGGCTCGACATGTGCGTTCCAGATCTGAATCACGGACTTAATTTGTGCTTCAAATTGCAGTTTGTTAAGCGCTTCTCCTTCTCGCCTCGTTGTTGGGTTTGTTAATAAGTTCAGTAGTTGTACCTAATTCAAACGGCTCGGTTGGAATTTGACGTGAATGACGTGACAGAATGACGCTCCGCAGAACGCCCCGGCCGTGACGGTTTGCGCTCCGGTTTCTCTCGCCCCTCGTCCAAAATAAATGGCAGTGGAAATAAGGGACCGGCAACGTGACTGGTGGCCGCATGGGTTAGCAAAAACAATTGCAGGCTGGTGGATTAGAAAGGGAGCGTTGCAAACAGTTCTGTGCTGCGCTGCTCCGAGTTACGTTCTCGTGTCCTATAAATCGGCAGGATAACTTTCTGTGAGATTTTAGCTATCTCCAGTAATGGACACAAGCGCTACGAAAAGGCTTCAGTGATGAAGTTCACCTTATGTAGCAGTTTCATTCTTACGTTTAAACTCCAAGAGTGGGACTGTGTTCATTTGTATTATTTATATTTGCAGAACTGCAAATGTTTTCACTGCACACTGTTATAGATGTATTTTCACAGCCAACAGCGGCGTTGTGCCATGAGTGAGGTGAGAGGTCTCGCTGAGTCTGTGCGATATGTTGCAACGTGCTCTGGGAGAAGGAGCAGGGTTTGGTGACGGATCGTCTTGCAGCTGTGCAAAAGGCTTCAATTTACTCAAATGTTATAAGGGAATTGCCGTGGGAGATGAAAAGCATTGTAGCACAGGGCTTACAGCTATTTGTGTGAGTAAACGACACAACAAACTTCGTTGAACTAGCTGCAGTACGCTGCGAGAAGACCTGGTATTTCTTAGAGAGAGCCCTTTGCTGGACTCTCAGAAGATGTGCCTCGCGTCACTTTTCTAACGGTCAGATGGTAAGAAGATAGGAGGAACGGAACTCTGAGTTACGATTAATGCATGCCGAGGGTGAGTCAACAAGTGCCTTTCATGTAACAGAATGGTAACAAAACTTTGCGAATCAGTTTCTTCTCTTTGAATTCTTTAAATCAGAACACTGCACTACTGAATGAAAAAGCACGTCCCTGTTTCGAGCAGCGAGCGCTCCAATACTCATTTTGGTTAAGTGCTTAATGAACTTTGCTGTTCGGTTTCTACTCGTTGAATTCTTTAAATCGGAACACTTCATTACTGAATGAAAAAGCGTGTCCCTCTGTTTCCAGAAGCAAGCGCTCGTTTTTATGAAGGGCTTAATGATGCAGGCTATTGAAGTAATTTAACCTCAGCTTGTCTTGGGACGTGCAAAATAACTGGCTCTGTTCTTGCTTCTGCCTCAGTAAATCACAGCTGTGTTCAGGTTGAGGACAAAAAGTATAGAGGGGAAGAGTGTGGCTGTACCTAGGTTCATAAATTCGTGATGATGAAGGCATAAGCAATGTGATTTGTAGACACTGGTCTTCCCTTAGCGGTCAAAAGCCGCTCGGAAGCGCTGAGCTAATCCGGCTGCTGAGGTAGCTGCTTGAAGTCGGTAAAGGAGAAGCGGAGCGCTGCTTCCCTTCTCTTTCGTGCGGACTGTTTTCCTCCATGCAATCCGAACAATACCCTTACAGGTATCGTCTGTTATGCTTCTAGCAAGAGGGGGTGTAAGGCTGCCGTGTTATTAATACAGAAATGACCGTGCCGACGACAAATCTTGACCTGCGCCTCAATCAAAATAGTGGATCTGGAATATGCAGCACAAAGTTTTGTACCTGTGCTCGCTATGCTTGAAGCATTATAAATGGTTTCATAAATCTGACCATTATTGGTCAGACTAGGAGTTTGAGTGCATCTAAGTAATAAACTACCATCACTTCCTCAATTTGTTTCAATTTGCATCTGATGATTTTTGGACTGTATAAAATGAGAACGAGCTTCTTTGTGATATCGTAGCGCTTGGACGCTCGTGTTCAATTCCCTGTCTAATTACACTGACCCTATAATTGGAATTTCACTAATGTGCCTGCTCGTAACAAATAGTTAGGAAACTGTTTTCATTTCCCTTCTTCCCTTGGATAGCTGCATTTTGAAGTTTGTAACTAAAATGAGGTGGATTGCATTCAATTCCATGCAGGAGAGAGGCTTTTCTCTTAGTGCTCGTCTAAGCAGGGTACCAGCAGGCTTAAAATAGCTTTGGGAGACAGAAATGAAATGCCAAAGGAAAAGAAAGCTCCACACTACTATTTCACAGCTTTACATCAAAACAAGCAAGTTAATATCGACAGTTAGTACCGATTTTAAATTTTCTAATATGCAGTACTAATTACACTTAAGATGTAAGCTCCTAAATGAAAGCGCTTGAGTTTCCTGGTCTCAGCTCTCATTTCAGAGCCGATTTCTACAGTATTACTTCATCACGCTCATAGACGTGCACGCATTATCTGATGGCCTGGAAGCTGCTATTGCAATTATGTAGGCTGCCTTTACAGTTACTTCAGGAACACGTTAGAAGCACCGGAAAGTCTGTCTTAGTATCGATGAAATGCTTTTCATTGGACTTGTCTGCTTACTTGAAATGTGCCTCTTTTCCACCTTTGCGCTTTTCTGCTTGGAAGGAAATGTGGCTGCACTTGCTAGAAACGAGTAAAAAATTAGTAGTGATGTTCTGTTCTGCTCGTGAGGCCTAGGCGAGATAACTTTGAGAAACTACGTTCAGTTTTTTGGGTACAGTGTTTCCGTTACGCCCTCTAAGTGAAACGCTTTGGTGACACTGATGTACGTTTATCAGGAAATGGAAGGGAATACAAAAAGACCGTGAGTGCTGCTGCTCAGGAATCTTTAGCGTCAACATTCCACAGTTGAATTTTCAGTGTTCGCTTCTCAGCGTGTCAAAACATGGAATGCATCCATCTGGTAACAGAGTGGGAGGTTATTGGTTTATGGGTTTGGTTTTCTTGACCGTGCTCTAAGAAAACGCAATTGCCAGGCACGGCCGAACTGAATTTCAGGGAGATGCGGTGATGAACAGCGTCTGTTCAGCTGGACGGGATGCACGCTATTATGTAGTGATGATATGACAGTAAAATCTCACAAAACTACCTCCCTTAAAATAGCAGGTCAGAGTTTCTTATAAGATTCATCCTTATAAGAACCCTTTGTTCCATCATAATCCTGTAGTTTGAAAAACAAATTTTTTTAAGGTTTCCTACAGTCACGCGGGATCCCTCAAAGCTCACCAGAAGGCGATCTCTAGCCCCAGGAAATCACGAGCCACTTTTCAAGTCGGCACGCTCTCTCTTCTTCCCACACCCTTCCACATCAGGCAAGCCAACATAACTGTCGCATGCAAACAGCTACGCAACAGTTGGTCATGGTGAGAAATACCGTGATACTGGTAAGATTCAGAGCTGTACAAGAACGACACGTCAATGCAACAGTAAAATAGACAAGGACATATGATTTTATTGTACAATTGATTTTGGCAGGATTTCAAAAGCTATACAATACCAAAAAGATAATTACAAAAACATGTTCAAGGGCAGCTTGACAATTATTTGTTCCATTTTAAAATCATTCAGCTGCCTGCTGCATACCTACTGTACAAATACGTTAATTTACATTTCAGTAGCAGGCAATGCCAAGTGTATCCATCACCATCACGATGGCTTGGAGCGGATCCACAACTTCTTGCATGTTATCTTTTCTCAAAACCCAGTCCGGTTTAATTCTGCGGAAATAACAGTGGTTTATCATTACAACAATGTATTGCCACTGTAAACACTGCAGACTACTTTTTAGGCACGTACCTTGAAACTGTCTTTATTCTTAGAGGAGTTACTGGAATGAAGGAAATTCCGCTAATTAAAGTGTTTGTCTTCTGTTTCACAAGCGTTCTCTCTGCATCCATTTTGCACTTACGAGCCGTAAGCTTATAGAGGCTTTGAATGCATGTAACAACTCTTGGCATGCTTCGGATTTCCTGAGAAAAGGTGAAAACAATACGTTGTTAATACTGAAAACTTAATACTACCTTAAACTTAGAAATCTTTTTCGAAAACCAAACTTCTACCCCAAAGTACGGCAATGCTTTTTTAAAACCAGCATGCTGACTACTACTGCTATCAAAATATATACATGGAACACTACCTGAGACTTCAGAACATTCTAGAAGTGCAATTCAGATGGTAATAATTTCTCATTTCAGGTAGTTTTGTTATGTCAGAGGCGCGTGTCTCTAACAAGCGTTACAGAGAGACAAATCAGTGTTTTTATGCATCTTCATATCAAAACAAACTAACACCGTAGTTGGAAGTGACTGAACAACCAAAGTGCTCATATCTGATGGATAAACCTGAATAAATCTGATGAAGCCTATTTATAGCATGGAACCCAGACTGCTCTTGTTGGCCATTCCATCCAGAAGTATGAACGAATACACGTTGGTTTTTTTTCAAAACCAGGCTGTTTCTGTTACGATAAAGTACGTCACGCGAAGGCATACACAGTATTGCTATTTTTTACTGGCAATAAAGATTTTAACTTCATCTGAAAAGTAATGGCAACCTCTCAGAAGTAGGGGGAAAAAAGTAAATTAATGTCTTCTATTTTTTTTTTAAACAACTAAACTTCATGTACTGCGAAGAAACTGATAGAAATTCATCAAAAAACTTTTTCAAGTAACAAACACGACCTCATCATCTTGCAGATGTCGTGGGATCAAAAACTCGGTGTGATACTCTGAGTGACAAAGTCAAACACTGCTGGCTAATGACTGCTTTTACCACCTTGAAATGCATTTTCCTGCCAACAAAGTTTAGTTACAACAGCTAATGGGTACTAGGCAAGATGGAG